GTTCTGCAAAATGAAGGAGAGTATTGCTTGTTTAAAAAGCAGCTTGAAAATGCATGCTTTCTCTGTGCCTGTGTCGTAAAGCCTCCTAGCATTCATATTGTGAAACTCTTCTTTCCTTTCCAGGTTAGTTTTATTTATTGCCATAGCTAGATAGGTAGAGAGGTGATATTATTTAAAAATGTCCTGTCAGATGGAAAGGTTATTTGTGCAGCACTTTAATTCATTGGGGTATAAAGAAAAGCCCTTTTTTTTCTGATGGTAGTAGAACTTGATGAATATACAGTTGTAACAGTCTGTTAGGACAACTTGAAAACATGAATTCTCAAAAAGAGTTAATGCAAGGCAAGAGAACCTTTTGTCACATAGAAGTCATTCAGCGTTTTAAATGTTCTTAATGTGTTGTCACATCTCTCTAATGTTTCTATTCTTGGGACAATAAAGAACAAGAATGTTGTTGAAATTGGGACTCTGATTCTGTATCATAATTATGGTGAATAAACACAAAGGTGGGGAACCTTCATATCCTGTAATGCAGCACAGAACTGCTATGAGAGGAATCTTGTGTTCTTTCACAAGTTCGCAGTGTCACTTTCTATTTTTGTCCTATTATCTTTCATTTATGTATCTTCAGTGTAATGCTGTTATGCTATCTAAGCATAATGGCATAAGTAGTTGCTACATTACAATACACTGCTTATAGGTATGCTTGTAAATTGCAGGCATGCTGTTGGTGCAGTTTGAGTAGGCTAGCCTCAAGACTGCATGTAATACTTAGTGATGTATTTTGTGGCTGAGAGCTCATGCTGTTGTGAGAGTTACCAGAATGTGTAAAACTATCTGGTATTGCAGCTGTAGTTGGGTACGATGAAATTTGGCTTTTATGGGGAACTGCGTAATAATTCTTAACTGCCTATTAAAGTTACTCTTCTACTGAAAGACTCCTAACCTAGTTTAGATTGTATAGCAGGAAGGAATTGTTTTCCCTCTTTGAGACAACTGTAGTCTGTATATGACTTTTCTTTGAAATTTTTGTGTAAAATTGACTTTCAAGACTGTTGCATCTGAAAGAGATTATTAGTAGTGTTCTTTTTAGGTGAGGATAATAATGGATTGATTTACTTCAGGAAGGTTCTGAGTTTAAGTTTGATTGGGCTACTCTGGATGTGGCTGTTGTAGGGGAAAAATAGCAGTACATTTTTAGCTTCTGCCAAGATGTTGGTGATAGATGGTGTCTTGTCTGTCCAATATGAATTCTACCCACTCTATAAATATTGATTGGAGAAAAAAAATGATGTTCCATAGCTTTAAAAAAATGTGTCCTGGTTGATAATAGGAATGACTAAGGGATATATATACAGATGTTGGCAAGAACAGCACCAGTACCTGCAGAAATTGGTATCAGAACAAGTCTCAAAGGGCCTGGTGGAAGTCTGGCTCACATTAGACAAACAGAGTAAAGAAAAAATATGTTAATGTTTTGGGGAAATAATGATAAAATAGTCCCTGCAGGTGCTTCTGTGGTAAAAACTTCTCTTTAGTGGAAACTGAGGTCTGGAACATGATTAATACGTGTGCAAAGATGGGCAGCTGCTAATATTTGGGCATTGCAGATGCTCTGTGCTACTTTCGGAGGCCTTGTCTGTTTCAGGCATCTGTCCTTTTCTGAAGCACACTTTCAGATTTTGTGATAACCAACTTTTTGAGGACAAACTTGGTAGAACTTCTTGTGCCATTACATGTGCTGCTTATCTTTCATTTTATAATTGCTGTCAAGTTTACAGAGCTCTATCTTGCGTTGGATCCCAAATAACTGGACTGTCTGATTCTTTGCAGGGTATGCTGATACAACTATCCTTAGCTGCTGCCTCTACAAGGTCCTGCACTGAGATTTGCAGGATGTTGAGTGGGATATCGCTGAAGTTGTTATTCAAAGGATCTTAGTGTGTAATTTTGTGTGGCATTCACACAAATTATAGTTAAGTGCTGTCTTCCACTGATATTTAAATGTTAGAACAAAGGAATTTAAACTTCTTAGAAATAGAAACTTGTTTGGTATTGCTGTCTTTCTCATGGGGTTAGTTATATTCGTTTAAGATTATTAACCTCCTATGCTCTTGATTCAAATAAAATATTTGGTACATAATCTACTTTCTTTGGGTGTATGAGTGAAAACAACCGTGGAGAATTCATAAAACTTCTGCTGAGGTGTCCAGTTCCGTTATTTTGGCTGTCAGGTAATGACAATGCTTTGCTTTAAGACAGCAGTCTTAAACGTTCACTGTATGAAATCCTTGCTATTGCTCTGAAGGAATATTAAGAAAAATAAAGTTTCTTCAGGTTTATCCTGACTTGATGTTCTGAACCATGGTCCTTTAAAAGTAGCTAAGCAAGAAGACCCTTATCACTGGTAGATGATGTGTTTCAGGTTCTGGCTTTTCTTTAGCAGATGGAAAACTCCATATTGCGAGAGAGAAATTATGAAATGGCTCTGTGGCCTGTAATACAATCATAATGTTTTCCAGTCTGGGGACTGTAAGAATTATTTTATGTGGAGGAAAACTTTGCCCAAGTTGGATTTGTTTATCAAGCGTATTGTTTTTTATACCTCAGTGTGATACTTATTAGTTCTTAAAAGAAATAATTGGCTAATTTGCAGGAGTAGTATTTAAATTGTGTGGAGATGACTGCATCACAGTTGCAGTGTAGGTAATATGGGATAGTAAATACACATCTTTTTATGCAGATAAAATGTCTTTATATTGCTTAAGAAAATTGAGTTACAGCTGGCATGGAACAGTCTCTGGGCAAGAAGCACTGCAATTTATGTGGAAGTAGGTCATGCTTAGGAAAACGTGTGTAAAACACATCTCACTGGAAATAATTACAGAAAACTTGATGCTGTGGTGTTAAGTTACATGCTGCAGGTTGAATATAGCAACTTTGCTTGCTGTTCTTGAGCTACATAGTAATTGACAGAAGGTTTACTTCTAGTTTTGAAGTAAATGGGCTAAAACTACTGGTTAAACTGGGACAAAGAATAACTACTAATTATAGTGCCTGCAGAAAAGGGGTTTTTTTCCTGCTCATTTTCTGAGAGTCTTAAATTGTAGCAGCATGGCAAAGTTTGAGTCTAGTTGAAATGTAAAGCCTCCTGCAATCTTCTGGTTTTTTTTATGTGTTGACAACTCTGTTACAAACATGAACAAAATTAATACACTTCAGGAAAATTCTTATTTCTAGCAGTCTGCCCTTGGGAATTAGGCTGGGACTCCTGTCTTGAGGACATGATTTTTATATTTATAAAATGTTCACTAGTTACTCAAGGAGCGCAGAATAGAGATTTAGAGTTTAACAGTCTCTGCATAAGAGGCTAGTATCCCATTCTCGCTCTGCCAATATTGTGTTTTATTGAGTGCTATGGTAACAGGAGCAGAAGTTTGTAAAAACATTCTTTGCCAGAAGAGTGAGCAGATACAGCTCTCGGGGCACATGGGGAGCAAATCTATGGAATAAGAAGGCATTGGTTCTGCTTAGCAGTTTTCAGAGTGAACTTTTACTAACTTTCTTTCACTTTTTTTTCTTGATCATGATTGTTTAGTTAGACTTCATCCTTGGTTCAGTTTTGGCTGGGTATCGTTGAGTGTTACCACCACCTTCAGTAGATGGGTAGTACAACAGAGGTCAGCTTTCAGCAGGCTGGACATGATATCAAGAACAAATTGACCTGTCTGCTTGGTTCTGATCTCTTTCTGACAAGCCCTTCCAGTACGGGCAAGGAGAAGGGCCTGTGAGTTGTGTGGACTGTTGTGATTTTTCAGAATCAAATGAATATATTTGTGTCTGTCCATGTAACGGGGTTCAAATGTGCATTTTGGGTGTAGGACTCTGGCATGTGTAATGATGTAGCTTTGGAGGAGCCTGAGACTTTGGCCTTTAGAGATGGTTTTACAAAAGGCAAGGAAGGCTGTCCCGTTTGTTTGTTTAAAAGCAAAAAAAGAAAGCAGGAGAGATTGGGGAAAATTTAATGGAGAATACAGGGAAGCCTCTTCTGATTATTTAGTTCTGTGCTTTAGAGCTAATCAGCTGCCACTGCAGCTCTCCCAGGCTCTGCTTATTTGAGCAGAAATCTCAAGGCTTGGAGTTCTAGTATGCTGCCAATGGTTCTGTTGCCTTCTAGAGGAGTGTTGTATATTGCAACTATTTTGTGAAGGTTTCTTATTTTGATCTCGACTTTTTTATATGAAATAAAATAATTTTGTTCTCTCAGATTGTGGGCATGCATCTGAAGACAGTTTGTTCCTTTCAGTATGTCTGAATTGGCAGCAGCTTTAAAAGGTGCCAAGTAAGAATAATTTCAAGTTTTGAGTTAACTGATCACTGTGAAGGGATTTGTGTAATCCAAATGTGGTTATTTCCTAGAAATGTGTCCTGGGTTAAGCTGAGACAGAGTTAACTTTCTTTGTAATGGCTAGCAAGAGGCTGTGTTTTGGATTTGTGCTCAGAAGAAAGCAAAAGTGATGTTTACGCAGCTGCCAAGGTCTTTTAGCTTCTCTGGCTGTGTGCAAACAGGTGAAGCTGGGAGGGAGCACAGCCCCAGTTACTAGCCCAGGATTTGATCTTAGGTTCGGGATTGAGACCCAGGGTGGCCAATAATCTATTCCATAACATACATGTCATGCCCTGATCTGAAGCAAAAGGGAACTCCTTTGGAGCATTTGCAAAAGCTTTTGAGGACTTTGAGTATCATTGGGATTTTCAAACCAGTTTAATTCTCTAAAAAGGACTGTGATGGGTTTGCCCTTGGCTGGGGGCCAACCCACACACCCATTCACTCAATCCCTCCCCACCCAATGACAGGGGCGAGAATTAAAGGGGTAAAGGGAAAAAAAGGACTCGTGCGTTGAGATAAGAACAATTTAATAACTAAACTACAATAATATTGAAAATAATACTAGATACAAAGATATGAATGAGTGATACACAGTGATACTGCCCCCCCGATGACCAACCCAGGGCTCAGCCTGTCCCGGGCTGACGATCCCGGAGCAGGGAGAGTCCTGAAACCGCACTCGCCAAACGGAGACAACAGTCCGAGTGTCCCAGACCAAGAGCTGACTGAGGTGGGGGGAGAAAAGACCTTGCGAGAGGGACCACCGGGCGTGAGATGATCCAGAGCGAAAAAGCGACCTGGAACAAAAAGGTACGATCTTCCGGAGGGTCCTCACCTATATACTGGGGATGACATGTATGTTATGGAATAGATTATTGGCCACTTTGGGTCTCAATCCCGAACCTAAGATCAAATCCTGGGCTAGTAACTGTGGCTGTGCTTCCTCCCAGCTTCTCCTGTTTGCACACAGCCAGAGAAGCTGAAAGACCTTGGCAGCTGCATAAACATCACTTTTTATCAGCTTTCTTCTGAGCACAAATCCAAAACACAGCCTCTTGCTAGCCATTACAAAGAAAGTTAACTCTGTCTCAGCTTAAACCAGGGCAAAATGGAAGAGTGATTATGCAAATTCCTGCCCCCACTTAGTTTAAGCCCTCTCTTCTGTCTACTATCTTTGAAATGGCATACTCCTTTAGCTGGTAGGTATGCCACTTTATTTCTCATAAAGTGTTTTTTTTTTAGCCATAGTTATCATAAGACAGCTAATTTAAAACATAATAATTTCTAGAATTGTAAAATTTTGGGATGTTCTCATGTGAGCAAGTGGGGACAGTGAATGGCAAAGAAAGAAAGACTTGCCTTAGCTGGCTTGACAATGTGGGAAGAGTTCTGATGATAACAGGATTGTATTTGTTGTGGACAGACGGCAAAAGCTTCCTCGCAGCTTGTGTTCCTTGACTACCTTACTCTTTTTCACAGTGCCTAGTGAAATGGGACTCTGCACCACAGCTGAAAGGCAGCTGATGTAGGTGTGGTAACTGATGCGGATGTCATCTCCACGTTTGCCTGCCTCTCTTTTGGGAGCCATTGGCTGAATAGGGTGTATATCTTCCCCTTATATGCTGCAATTACCCTCTGTCAATTACAAGCTGTCCTGCCATCTGACTAATTACATTAGTACATTAGGCTATAAATGTGGTTGTGGATGACATGGCTGCATGTCCTACTTTGCTTTTCTTGTAGTGTCTGGCAGTGGACACTTGGATCTGCTTCTACTGCCACAGATAACTCTGTGATTCTAAATTAAAGCCTTTAGTTGGCCCCAGTCATTGCTATGTAACGGATTTAATTGTGAATTTATAGTGGAATGATGAAACTGGCAAAGTTGGGAAATAACTCGTGTGTTACATAAATCCCGGTGACTATATAACATTTTGGGAAGCTGAAATAGACATCCTTTCTTAGAAATGGTAGATTTTGTCAGATTTCTTGAGAGAGCGAGCTAAAATCTGTTAATGTGATATTGCTGAGAAAACAATTGGTACAAATAACTTTTTACAGCAGAATGTAATTACTGTATGATTGTAGTTTGTTCTAACTTACGAAGGCCACTTTGCGTCTGAAAACTAACTTTTGCAAATGCTACAATGACTTGTTTTATGTTTATCAAGTAGCTGTAAAATCAAATTTGAGTTGAGTTAATAAATGATTTTTACTTGTAACTCAGTGAAAACTCCGCACAGTAAAGCATCCTTGGTGAATGAAGATTTGTAGAACAGGAGATTTGTGAGATAGCAGAGTTAAACCTGCAGATCTTTGCTGTTTCTGAGGTTCTTCATTCAGCACATTTGTATTGGCATAGTCTCTTATGGCCACAAATATGTTGATTTTGTCCTGGTAGTAAAGCCAAAATTGGCCTTGTATTTGGAACTCTAATAATAATTCTGTTGTTGTATGCAGTAGAAAATGATTCACTTCTCTCAGCTGTGTTACTGCAGAAGAGCTAACAGAGCCAGGTGAAGCCTGCATTGATTAACAGAATGAGCAGTGAGTCTTAAATGCACATGGGGAATAGGTTTCTGTTAGTGGTGCGTGTTTTTCAAGGAAGAGGTATACCTGATGCTGTTAAGCAGTGAAGAATAACTATTAATATAACTGCATGTTAACTGCATTTCAGATGCAAATATGTTTGGATGCTATAATGTTGTTCAGTTTCTTTTTGATCTATAATTTTAAACTATTATTTGTGTGTTGAACAACTTTTATTATAACTTTGTCTAGTAGGTTTATATGAATGCAGCATCCTTTTTGTTGTTGCTGTTGTTGTTGCAAAAACAGGACTTTGGATCTGCTTTCAAAGAATAGGAACTTGCCGGTTTTGGAGAGCGGGACATTTGCATGTCAAAACTGGTCATCTGTGCTTGTGAATGTATGAAAATAAATGCTAAGTTTGATCCTGGCGACAGTTAAGGGAAACAGATGAGAAATTTGTTGCTTTTTGTTGTTGTGATGCTGGCAGCATGAAAACAGAGGTGCAAGTGACTAGATGTCAGGGAAGCTGTGCTTGTCCACAGCTATCATTTGTTATCTTTTTCTTTTGGGTACAGTAGACTGATATTATTGCCATAGATTTCAAGCCAGTGAGTTACTTTTGCCCTCACTGTCAGCCTTGAATGCAGTATGTATTTTAAAAAGTTGGATTTCCATATTTCTTTGAAAGGTGTCTTTCCTAGCTGTTAATCAAACCTACATTTTGAGGCTCAGCATGGAAAGGAAAATATCAAATGAATCAACTTTAATGAAAACAAAAGACTTCAGCTTAATGTGAGTGACCTGATATTGACTGCATCAGATTATTGATGCTGAGTTTCAGACAGCTTAGAAATTAGGAAGTCACACTTATGAATAAGAAATTCTAGTGACATTTAGTGCATCATTACATTTTTTTTGGAAATCTGAAAAACAGAACAACCTGATGTCAAAGACTTTACAAAAGTAGGAAAACTAAAAGTGTATTCCTCAGTTAGCATGCTTGTTATTGGTATACAGATAAATTATTGTGATAATTTATTTTAATTTAATTATAAAAATGTAAAAAAAACTTATTTATATTTTTGTTCATATGAATATGAACATCATATAAATATGATACCAGAAAATGGTATCTTCTGTAATGATTATGTTTGCCCGAAATGACAGAGTTTCTTGTACAGCATTACTGATTGCTGTGCTTAGATTACTGTGTGATCTCAGCTCAAAAGGTGATGTTTGGTTAGATTTAGAGTATACAGAATTCACAGTACTATGAGAGTAGTCCTAACCCCATTTCTTTTGAGTTGTATTCAGAAGAGTTTACTTCAGTAACTTCCCATTTAAAGGTGTTTACATTTTGAAAGCACTTTGTGTGAACATCAAGTTAGATGCTTTAGTTTAGGTGTTGAGTAGAGACTTTGGATGCGATTCTGAAGAAATGTACTTTTCAGTTTGACAGATGTTTATAAGCTTGGGACGGTTTAGGTGCCTAACTGTAACCTCTGTGCCTGGATGGTCTGCCGCAACTCAGGTTTCATTGTAGTGCTGATTCTTGCATTGTGTATTGTCACTTCTGAAAGTAGTTCACCAATAAAAAAAGGAGTCTTGTCACTAGGAGACCAGCCTGCCCCATTCTTCACAGATGGAACAGAATTGTCAAGCAGGTTACTTTATATAGTTAGCTGTCCAGATAAGGTCATGTTAGAACTGTTATGAAGTAAAAATATTCTATCTCCAAAGTCCAGAGCTACCTTTTCTACTAAGTTGTATGCCAAATTACCAGTCCCATTAATCTTGTTGCTTTCCCTGTTGTGTGGTCTCAGTGTATCTTGTTGCTTGTGTATTCTTTAGAATACAGAATAAAAGAAAGTTGTCACAGAACTTACCAGTGAGTTTGCGGATCAGTATGTGTGAAAAAGTGTTTCCCATTCGTATCTGAAATCTCGTTTGCTTATACATTTTATTTCTTAATATTTGATTAATTCATAATGGTTAGGGTGTAGAGTACATATGAATGGGCAAGATGACTACTAACTCTCCTTAATTTTAAAATAAATGTGTATACATTTGAGTAGGGCCATGAGGCGATCAAGCTAGCCCTCGCTCTTCCTAAAATAATGATAACAGCAATAATTACGTGAATAAGCAATTATATAGAGAAAAATGTTTATGTTTAGAGATTACAACTGACAAAGAACAAAAAAAATTACTTCCAGCTCCAAGTACTTTGGAGCTCTGGTTATACTAAAGAATACATAGACTTGGTTTTCCCCCTATGTTCAGTGTACTAGTAGAATACATGGATCCTCCCACACATCCGAAAGGGAAATTTTGAGGTTTTCTGGTAGTTCTGTGGCATTTATTTTTTCAAGAGCTCTGGGAGGTGTCATATCCTTCTGTCTGTTCTAACATGTGAGCGATTGCTTCTGCTTTTCCTGCATGTTTCACCTGCATGTTATAGACCAAGTACTTAATGAATTGTATGGTACATGTTTTTCATGCAAGGAATGAGTGCTTCTAGTAGTGAAGATAGAGTAAGGGATATTATTTAGCAAGTAAGTATTCAGTGAGGTAGTTTGTTAAAACAGAAAGCTATTGTATTTTTCACCAGCAGTTATGTAACTTTTTGGCACAATTTTGGCATAATTATTGGATAGTGATGCTCAGTTTTCTCAGCAATCATTTTTTCTAGCTTACGAAAGGACCTCAAAGCACTTGGATGGGCTAAGCAAATACCATCTGTGCTGTTGAATAAATGTGTGTAAAATATTTAATTATGTATGAGGCTTTCAGTAGCTTCAAAGAATTTAGCAACAAATAAAATGGAAAAGGATGATACAAGACCTCAATCTTCTATTTTTCAGGAAAACTGAAGCGTGCTTTGTCAGTATCGCAGATGAGCACATTTTGTACTGAATATCGCAAGCTTGTTGAACTCAGTGGCATGCAGCTTTTGTTCTTGAGGCGAAGCTGATGCAACCTCAACAGAAACCTGAGGGGTTTTGCTTGCTGGTCTTAGACAAATGCCTGCTTGGTTTTGTGTTAACAGTAATAAAAAGGAACAGCTCTTATATTGATTAAATGAAACTAATCTTCTATCTCACTTTTAAAATTTCGCTGTTATTTTTTTGTCCCTTATTAAATATGAGTTGTTTCACTAAACAGTACTTTTTTGAACAGTAGCAGGATATGTATATGTTACTGTGTAAATGTATTGTATGCTGAAGAGCTGATTTG